ATAAAGCAAATTATTCCTAAGACGCCATCTCGTATCATTGAATATACATTATGAAATTAATATTTTCAGATTCGACATTTCTGTGGGTACTTAAGTTTAGGACGAATATATTATTATACTACACATTTTTTTTGTAGAAACATATAAGTTATTATAATTAAGCTAAATTTTTCATGTTTAAATCTGCTTATTATTCTTTTATTTTATTTTTAGGTTTCCACTTCAAAGTCAAAGTGGAATAAATTCGTCCATTTTTAACTCTCGCGTGCCCAGCATTTATGAACGATTATTTACAACATTTATGATTCTAATTTAAATAAATATATTTGTAATTTAAATTTTATGTTAATAAGTTTTGTTAAACATACATTTAGTACGTTTTTTTATATTTGACATAGATACCTTTTAAAATATTCAGATAACAATATCATCAAAATGTAATTCTGACATAATATTATGTAATATTATATTAAATTAGCACATATACAAAATAAAAAACATTTTAAAAAATTGTAAGTACTCGATATAATTAACAATACAATATAAATAAACAATTATTACATACTGACCATTCTACTTACGTATAATCTATAATAACAAAAACTGACCGCGCAAGCGCAAAGCGCGTTTATACCAGCTGCGCATGCGCGACTCTACTATTACCGCGCATGCGCGAAGACATAGAAGTAGCGCACAATTTTGGTTTGGAATAGCTTCTCTAGTACGTAGTACATTATAACTCAATGCTTTATATTGTACTTTTGGATTTTATAGGTTCCGATTTGGCATACAATCGGATTAGACAATTTCAATTCTAATCTCAATTAGTTCACACAATCATCACGCAATATTAAACTAATTTAGCGCTAGAGTCGCTTTCCAGAGTACGAAACGTAGTAGAGACGAAGAGTAAGCCTGTAGGTGTAGGTAACTACAAACTAAAATAAAATGTAATTTTGTAAAGAATTTATTGTTAACTCATTTAGTCCTCGTAACAGAGAAAATCAATAAGCTGCCAAAATGTCACGCCTATTTGAACAATATATATAGGTACAATTTGAATTGGTATAGTAACGTAATTTAAAATATGTACTTTAAATTACGTTACTATACCACAAATCGTTGACGTAATAATCAGTTAACTTCGGACGCCAATTCACATGTTTTATGCTTTTTAATCACAATTTTAGTATTGAGTCAATTGAAAATACCAGTAAATAAATAAATATTTGATAATTATCTGTTGTCAGCGACTTTCATGGCTTTAAATAGATATAAGAAGAAAAAAAATAGATAAGTTTTACCAATAAAGAACTCGTCAACCCCATAAAATGTTTATCAAAAATAGGTTATTTAACGCTAAACATAAGTTAGATAATATAGGCTCTTAATAAGTGATAAATTTTAAGTGCCTATATTATCAAATAGTTTTATATTTTTAATGTAAACTGTAAATCTCTTTAGGGACCATCTATAAATTAAATCACACATTAGGGGAGGGGCAACAAAATGTGACATTGTGTGACAAGAGACATGGAGGGGTAGGTTAAAAGCTATATGACGTCACATGTTAAAATCTAAAATACTAAAATGCTATTTATATGTAAACCAAAAAAATTAAAAGTATTTTTGTATTTTGTATCTTTTTTATTGTTTATCTTAATTGGTCTTTTGGTTTGTCCATTATCTAAAATGTTTGACTGTATTTTGATTTTATTTAAAAATATTTTTAATTTAAATTTAAAAAAAATACGAAAAACTGCTCTTTTAATAAGTATTAAATTTAACAAAAATACTTTTTATTAAATTACTAATATAAAACAAAACCGAACTACACAACACACTGAAAAAAACAACGGCCATTTGCAAATTTCCCGATACACTCAATGGCGGCGCTTCAAATCGGCACAAACGTTTTGTAGGATATAGCCAGTCCAGCGTACTATATATGGAGGTCAGTGCGTTAACCGCTGTAATTAGCGATGAGTCGTCGACGTATTTGTCGTTAACGTAACTAGACCGTCTATTTTCGTTCATCGACTAGTCGATCAACTAGTTAAATTTGTCAACTACTGTTACACGTCACCTTGGTTTTTCTGACGTTTAAATTTAGACTCAGCAACGTCATCTATGGATTGAAAGAAAGAAAGAAAGAAACAGAATTTATTTGGCACATGCGACACACTCAAGTGGATTACATAAAACACATAACATTTAAGTAGTCATACGAACAAAAAACAAAAAAATTATACATAGAAATCATGAAACAGGACCTTCACTCCTTGTTTATAGATATGGTAAAACAAGAAAAAACAAAAAAAAAGCAAACAATAATATAAAAAAGAAAATAATAATAATAATAATAAACTAGAGAATAAGGAGTAATGCATAAGGTGTATTACAAAGATAATCCACCCGTTAATGCTGCTCTGTTCCAAAAAAGGAAAGCCACTCAGTATATGTTGGAATGTATCAGAAATACAACACCCCAACCCTGATTTTCAGTGGCACCCTTCTATATTTAAAATAAAAATACACAAATAAATATAATATATATATATATATACATATATTATATATTCTTTATGTGCAGAGGGCATTTCTGTTGTGTTAAACCAAATATAATAACAAAAATTTATTTCCTGTAATATTGTCATAATTCTTATAAAATATTCTTAACACTGTAAGAGGTTGCTTTGAAATTCACTTAGGAACGTAATTAAGTTTAAGCTACAAACAAATACACAAACCAGCTGCAGTACACCGCTTCATTACATAATTTCAATAAATAATATATACATACTCAAACACACACACATATACATATATATATGTATGTACATATATATACATAAATATAAACAAGCACACGTACATAACCATATACACGCTCATACATCACTTTTAAAATTACATACTATCAAAATATCTGCACTACTTAACTTTGAGATTGCTGATCTAAGAGGAACAATTTAAATTTTTGACGGAAGCTATGTATCGATTGCATATTACGGAACGGCGGCGCGGCAAGTTGTTCCAACACTTGGTTGCTGCATATCGAAAACTGCCTCGAAACGCAGCGGTGCGGTGTTGAGGCAGAAGCAACCCGTACGCCGAAGCTCTTGTCACTACAATTGTTAAGACGTTGTCTCGAGCCCAGCGCAATTTTTCATAGAGATAAGACGGCGTCCTGTATTTTATACAACCAAACAATAGCGTAGCAAAACGCAACTGCCAGCGGTAATCCATTTTGAGCATTTTCGCATTATTAATGTAAGGTATAAAATGTGCACGGGGAGGTATTTTAAAACAGAAACGGGCACAGGCATTTTGTACGCGCTGTATAAGTTTCTTTGAACGGTTGAGAAGTCTAGGACCTATTACTGCATCTGCATAATTGAATTTGGACAGTATCAAGGACTCACATAATCTGATACAGACTTCCGTCTTTAATACATCCCTTATCTGGTATATGGTACTTTTTTAATCTGTAAAAATAATTTTTAACGTTATTTATTATATGTTTTTCGATGTGTAGTGCCTCATCCATCAATATTCCTAAAGTTCTAATCTCAGCAACTTGATCAATATTTACATTTTTAATTGAAATTAAAGGACGATTTGCCAAAACTTTATTTATTTGTTTTTTTGGTACCAAGTAGCATATATTTCGTTTTATTAGGATTAAGTTCTAATGTGTTTGCTTCAGACCAGTCGACTATACGATTTAGGTCTTCATGTAATTTTTGTATAGCTACAGTACTCTCATTTGGCTTGAAAGAAATATATACTTGTATATCAACAGCATATACATGATAGCTACAGTTTAATATATGTTTTACGATATCAGCACTATACAGCGAAGAAATCAAGGGACCAAGTATTGAACCCTGCGGAACACCTCTTGTAACAGCACAGCAATCAGATGCTATTTTATTGCCGTTTTCACTACTACTTCGACAATTTGCCTACGGTCATTAAAATAGCTGCGAAACCAATCTATAGTTTCCGAGCTTAATTTAATTTAACATAGTAGTTTAATTTAGAGAATAATAACTGCCTATTTAACGTGTCAAATGCACGGGAATAGTCTAGAAGAACTAGAATTGTAACCATACCGGAATCCCGAGCACTTAAAACGTTATCCAACTACATCGGCCAAAGCTATTGTAGTGCTATGTCGTTTCCTAAAGCAATTGACATAGTCGAAATACGTAGACCGTAGACTATTATAATAGCCATGATTTGAACTTCTCTTCATACTTTTCCAGGCTAAGGACTGACTGAATAGTGTTAAATATAAAGTCGTATTCACTATTCAGACGCATTTAGAATATCAGTTGATTTTATGTACATTAATTTTTTTAATGCAAAATTTTAGTATCATTTTAATTTAAAACCTCAAATTTCAAATTTGCGCTCAGTTATTTGTGTTATTTCAACGAACATAATATGAACTAAAGTTATCCGACCACGTTCTCGAGTCGGCCGTCTTGATGCTAGTCTAATTGAACGTTATGTAGTTTCAATTGTGCCGTTTAAAGATTCGCCTATAGTTCGTAAAAGATAGCTTGATCTCTGCGACAGCTGTCAGTAAAATCACGCCTATGAAGTCCTGAATTTCTTAGTAGTACAGACAGTACCTGTCAATGTCATAATTAGTGCATGCCAATAAAGTATGACATTGACAGGTACTGTCTGTACTACTAAGAAATTCAGGACTTCATAGGCGTGATTTTTACTGACAGCTGTCGCAGAGATCAAGCTATCTTTTATGAACCATAGTCCATTGATTGTTCGTAAACCGTCTACTCGTTCACAGTACGTCGACGGTCGAATTAACTAGTTCGTTCATTCTACGCCCATCGCTAGCTGTAATGTTATTTCACCTTATGACAATAATGTAAGTGTGAAAATTGAGATATGAAAAGAGATGCAAAACATTTGAGGAATCAAAGAAAAATATTAAGATTCATGAATTGTATTTGATTTATTTGCAGGCAACTGAATGTCACTTGGCCGGAGTGACGCCAATAAACAAAAAGTGGAATCCCAACTCCGTGGCGCTGCTCCAAAACTACCAAGGTCGACTCTTAGAACTGCATGTTGAAGATAACCACAACCGTTCCCTAGGTGTTACACTGTATGACAAAACAAACGAAGATGATGTCGTATGCATTAACACAGAAATGGTGAAATATAAATTCGCAGTTACATTTGGGTACGTTTTCGTTATTTTGACTACATTTCAATATTTTGGTTACATTTGGTTACCGTTTAAAATGCCTATGTATTTAATTAAATCATATTTTATTAATTTTTTTTATAGATTATTCATGTTTAACAAAGAAAATATTGTTGAAGAGCAAGTAATCACTAACAAGTCCCCACCTAAAGAAACACCGCGTCCTAAAACTCCATCTAAGAGCATTAAAATTTTGAAAAACGAAACTTCACCAAAGCCCAAGAATAAGGAAGAAAATTTAGAAGCTAAAGATAAAGGGCCATTAAGATTGGAAGCAAAAGTTTTGTATTATCAATCTCCATCTCTCATTTACGTATCGCTTGTTCATCAGCAGAAGCAGTTAAATGTTCTGTTTGAGAATATACAAAAGTACTATTCGAAGAAAAAATTTCAAAAAAAAGATGATTGGAAGGTTGGTGATAGATGCTGCACCATATGTCAACAATCACAAACATGGCGCCGTGCAGCCATTGTCGAACTAGAAGGTGAAAATGCTAAGGTCTTCTATTCAGACTTTGCATGTGTTGAAACTGTACCAGTATCAAGTTTGAGGGAATTGAGTCAAGACTTCGCGTCGATTGGTGACGCCGCTATTAAATGCCATTTGAGCGGCGTAATACCCGCAGATGGAGAAGAGTGGCCATCTCTTACAAAAGAATATCTAAAAGAAATGTTGGATGCATACAAAAGAGTTTTTATTACAAAGATTGGAAATTTCAAAGATAAGAGTATGCCGATTGAGATGTGGGTTTATCACACAACCCAAGGTGGCGCTTTGGAGCCCAATACTTCAGAATGGCGTTGCCTTAATAAGAAAATCATTGAACAAGGTCTGGGCATACCCGATAAATCTCAACAGGTAGTTTTTCATTGCTTTACTCTGTGCACTAATTATTTTAAAAAAATATTGTGTTGTTCGACTTTCAGAATTATATGATGGTTTTTATCATTCCGCTATCACAAGGCACATCTTTTTATTCTTTTTGCCCGTAATAATTTATGAGTTATAACAAAAAAAACTTATTTATTTCCCAGATTAATGATCCAGATGGTGAAGCCGAAGCAGGCGAAAATGTGCTATCGTTTCTGAACATGACTGGTTCAGTCCAAGAATGGCTACAACTGGAGCCAATGCCTACAAAACCTTTTGTTTTTAAATCAGACTCCGAAAGCCACTCCAACAGATCAACACCATTAGAATTTGAATCTACTTCCAAATCTGACACTGATAATAAACAGGAAACCATATTTATATCAGATTGGTTGCCACCAGAAACATTGCAAAACAAAGAATTCACAGGTGTACCCACGTAAGTGTACGCAGTTTTTTTAAACGGTTTTATAAATTATTGTTTTTTGTTTGCTAGTTAACATTATATTATAAAGTCAGAATCACTATCAATTTCATAAGTTAGCTTCGACAATAAATGTCAAAAAATAGCAAAAAATTAAGCAGCTATTTGCACATGGTGATTTCATTTTAATAAACAGGAGTTTGGGAACAAAAAGCTGCAAAATGTGGCAAGTACGCAGACCATCAAGTAACATTTACGTCGACGGCGGGCTAGTTGCAAATAATGGTTACGATAATAAATGTATCATTAAAGAAAAGTCAATGAAAGTAAGACGAACTTGATGGTGTTTAAAAGACAAGAAAGTAAAACAATATGTGAAATAATAAATTAGAATAGAAGTGAAAACGAGGAATGAGTATCTGTATTTAGGTAGTGTGTTTAGCAGGAATGGTAGCTGTAATAAAGACACAGAATGAAAAGTAAGTGTAAATGGGGCTCTTAACTCCATCGTATCGGAAGACAATGTGTCAAAAAAATGCGTTTTCACCCCTGAGGACTAGGGTGGAATGCCTTGATTCCAGTAAAATGGGTCTCCGGTTTTGCCATACCAGGTCGTCACTCCATCTTGTCTAGGGGCTGCCCCTCACTTATCTACCGGTACAAGGCTGCCACTCGACAACCCTTCTTTTCTATCGGTTATCGCTTCTTCGAGCTACATTAGTTATACTGGTCTATCACGCAGAGAAACCCCGAGCATAGCCCTCTTCCTGGCAACACGCACTGATTGTACAAACTTGTTTGCAAGTTTTGAGGTATACTTGACAAGAAGATGTGTCGTATTCTCCCGAACGCTGCTTAGCCGAGTCGAATCTCTCGGTGGAAGTTGGACTTACCTAGTCGGACTATTTGTCCTAGGTACACATCTTAAGACACTATTGAGATCATTGAGCATAGTGCTTCTAGTCCTCCAGCAATTCTGCCATAAGGACTATATCATCGGCAAATCGAAGGTGAGTGATGTACTCGCCATTGATGTTAATACCTTATCGTTTTCCAGTCCAGTACCTTGAAAACGTGTTCCAATGTAGCGCTGAAGGGTTTCGGGGATATAACGTCACCCTGTGTTACACCTCTCTGCAGTTGGATAGGTTTCGTACTCTAGTTTTGTACTCGGATAGCTATCGTAGCCCTACTGTACAAAGACTTCAGCACTTCGATATACCTACAGTCAATGCGATGTGCGAGATCCCACTTTAAACTTAATCATTTAACTGAAAAGACGTTAGCAGGTCTGAGCCCCACAAGCTCTACAAAGAAGTATCATTCACCAAGCCAACCAGTTAATAACTAGAACTCTTAATTCTTTTTATCGGTGGACAACTACCGGCATAGGTGTGACATGGACGTTACACATGATCTTTCTAATGTTCAAGACCTATCGTAAGACATATAGGTGACTGATGTACTCGCCATTGATGTTAATACCGTATCCTTTCCATTGTAGCCATTGTAGCTCTACCGTACAAACACTTCAGCACTGCGATACACCGACTGCCAACTTGGCACCGCTGAAGGGACTGTAGTTCCATTTTTAGTGACCGTTTTTAAGGTGTTGAAGAGTCATTCTAATCTCGCTTGGACTGACGTCCGAGATATCATCGGAATACTGTCGGATAGGACTTGCTCTTGGATCGTTACTCGCACTTGTGTGTGGCTACAACGATGATGTGTACACAGCTACTCGTAGAACTTCTCAATCTCACTCAAAATATAAGTGTCCCGGAAACGATGCTGCCACATTCAGGCTTTAGCTTTAACAGTTGACTCTTTCGGGCAGACAGATCTCTGGCAAAGACTGGAGCCCTGGTTCTGCTCGATCGTTTCTTCTATACGAGCTGTATTGAAGTTGCGTAAGTCCAGCCGCATGCATTTGGAGATCTACCTATTCAGTTGCCTGTATGCTGTCATATCTGCTGAAGACTGCAACTTCATTTCCTGTCTAATATCCATAAGATTAAGAATGGGAGTTTTTGGGTTCTTCTGCGACAGATCTTACAGAACTTAACTCCGCCCGCATGGACAGTTTCCATGAGCTTGTCATTCATATCGGCCACTGTATTGTCTGCGTTTATTGTATTGCTTTCAATGCCTAGTATTTTAGGCTAGTCTTTTGCTGAAAAGACTTGTTTACTTAATTTAATAATTATATTTAATTTAATAAAGATTATGGCACTAAGTATAAGCGGTTTTAATTATTGTAATAAATTTTCTTGTTACATATTGTAATTTAATTGAGAAATTAGTTTTAAATAAAAATTTATCAATTTCTATATTAAGAGGAGTATTACAAAAATACGCGAAATTACAAGGATTCCTCGTTGAAATTATATGTTTTCCGTTTGTTGCTTGAAATAACAATTACTTGGTAAAAATAGTTCGTTTTCTCTACTACAATAATCTTTTTTAATTTTAACCCCCCTATAATTTTTTGTTCTCTTTTTTTTTCTTGTTTTGAGTGTCCGGCCCGTCTTGCTTTTGTTAGGCTTTTTAAAGAAGACAATCGTTTTTGGACCAACTAGATATTTTAACATAACTTAACTCATAAAAAAGATACCAATTTACTATAGTAAACTGACTAAAGATTTTATGAAAATCTAACCGGTATCATGATAAATAATACAATTGAGAATCAATAGCTACATATAAATCACCGCAGTCTGTTTATTCGTGAACTGTTTTATCCAGATTTACTAAAAATATTCTTTTAGTAGTTCCGGAGAATCCACCTAGTATTTAATATTTTGAAGAACCTACAACTTGTTTATACTTTTTATTATTAACACTGCACTATTACATATATATACATAATATACATAACATAGAATATCAAAACTACTAGACATATCATTGTAAGTGGCGTAGCTCTGATATAATTATTACTTTTGAAATTTTGTCTTGACGTCATCTCACTGGTCTGACTTCATAATATAAATTTTTATTCATTAAATTACATTTAAAGTACTGTACTCAAAGACCAGCATAATTAAAAGCTAATAATTGTTTTATAGGTATGTGGACAACGATGGAATTATTTATCTTCATGATATATCGCAAGAAGACACATTGGACTTAATTCGAAAAGCGCTAGATGTTCGCTTTAAAAATCCGGATCCTAAAGCTAAATACGCCAAGTGGTCAGTTGGTGAACCATGTGTTGCCCTATACTATCTGGATAATAAATTTTACAGGGGACGTATATTAGATGTTCACTACGAAACATCTACTTGCTTGGTGCATTATATTGATTATGGAAATGAAGAGAGTTGTTCATTTTCAAATTTAAGGAAAAGTATTGCTTTATATCAAATTCCGATACAAGCTCACAAATGTATATTGAATCGTATTCAACCCATTGGAAAATATTGGGACCGACAAACATTAGATTACATACATAAATCGATCGTCGAGAAACAATGCTTTGTAAGAATCTGTGGAGATTCAATAGATGGTGTCAATCCAATCGAAATAAAGTATGATAAGCTCTGGATTAACGATCATTTAGTTGAATTTGAAATGGCCGAGTATACTGATGGCTCTAAAGCGGTTGTGAGGAAGTTTGCCCGTGATGAAGGACGAAATAACGTGGAAGAACATTCGTTCGTGGCGGAATCAGACTCTGGGCCAGATTACATTGTTGAAGAAGAACAAGATCCGGAAATGTCGGCGTCTCTTGACTCATTTAATATGAAGGAATTAGAAGGAAAAGATTGGAACCAATTATTGCAAGAAGAAGAAAAGCTACCTCTTGAAGGAAACTATACTACATTCCCAAAAAATTTTGATAAAGATTTTATATGTAATATCACAGTCATCAATGACATGAACATTCTTGAACTTAATATCATTAAAAGTAACGAAAATATGGAATTGTATGAGATGATGTTCGAAAAACTACAAGAAAAAGCAAATAGCATGCCACCTTTGAACGGCATATTTGAAAATAAAGCATGCGTTGCTCTTTTCGATGAAGATGGTCAGTGGTATAGAGCCACAATTTTGGAATACAGTGAAAATACAAATCGCGTAAAAGTTAGGTATATAGATTATGGCAACATTGAAATAATCTTTTTAGCTGACGTCAGGGAAATTGATGAAGAATTCACAAAATTACCGCCACTGACCGTATCGGCAACTTTACATGGTGTGAAAATTAACCCAAACGTGGAAATAAATATTCTTACAAAAGAATACGAAAATACATTTTTGGATAAAGGTCCATTCCGTGTTAAAGTTATTGATTACAAAAATGGAAAGCCGTCTGTTGAACTAAGAAATGAAGATGACGAATTAGTTTATGAGCACCTTATTGAGAGTAAGGTTTTTTTGAGTTCAGATGAGTAAAATGTATTTTTTTTTATTTCCATGATACTGTGTATCGTAATTTCTGTCATGACATTTGAAAACATTCCTCTTTTTTCTTTTGTTTTCTTATAGCCTTAATATAATCAAAAGCCTTTAGTTATATGTTACATGTCATTATTATCATTTCAAAATAAATATTCAAATGATGTTTTTTTTTTTTCATTGTTTATTCCCTTATTTTCAGTAAAACAAATTATTAGTTCCTTCAATCCCTACAATACAGCCTATTAAAATCTACTGCTGCACATAGGCTTCCTCCAAAGACAACGATATGAAATAGTGGTTTCTCTAACATCGCCATGGTCGCGCGCATGGTCTCTTAAAATTTTGCTGTTCTGCGACTGCATTGCGGGCAGAGATAATCAGGTCTACCTATGAAATTACTTTTTTGTATTGCACCCACTGTACGCCAGCGACGTCTATAGTCGTCAAAAAACCCGACCCACAGAATATGAAATAAAAATATTGAAAAATGATAACTGGTATTTTAAGCTCAAGCTCGTAACATTTGGTGTCAGAAGTGGGACCAAATCATGCCGATTTTACCGAAGGAGGAATCGAAGGGTGTCTATACCCGAAGTCAACGCCAGCAGGAGACGGACCAGAGGAGATTTGGTGGTGCAACGCCGCAGACGTCGGAGGGCCAACTGCCAGCCACGGAGGCTGCGGGCCCGTCAGTAGCTCCTACATCTGCAGCACCTGACTTAGGTGCTCTGATGGCGATGCTACAGGAGGACAACTGCAGCGCGGACAAGAGGAACAGGCCCGCCGACAGGAGGAACAGGGGATAGAGAAGAGGGGTCCGTCGGTTGGAAGAGCAGCTGCGGGGCGGACAGGAAGAACAGGCCCGCAGCGAGGACAAGAAGAACAGGAGCAACAGATGCTTCACATGAAGGACCTTCACGCTACCTTCGGGAAAGAGATAAGGGAGGTGAAGGATAAGGTTGCTCAATATGACAACCGTCTGTCGGAAGCTGAAACCCGAATCGACCAAGTGAACAATCGGGTTGACAACGTAATGGCTGACATGAAGAAATCACTGGATGAACTCAAACTTGGGTAGCTACTACACTTTAGCTACGTGGGTTCAAGGTGCCACCGTTCGACGGGACTTCTTCCTGGTCAGCCTACAAAATCCAGTTCGGGGCTGTTATGAAGGCAAACGGCTGGAATAAAAGTCAGGCCATGACTGCTCTCACACTAGGCCTGCGCGACCAGGCCTTAACAGTTCTGGAAGCTCTCGGTGAGGAAGTGACTTATGACCGACTCCTTGAGGCATTGGAGGCGAGATATGGTGACGCCCACCTGGAACACTTCTTTCGTACGCAGCTTAAAGATCGCGTGCAGCGCACCAACGAAAACCTGCAGCAGTGGGTTCTGGGCAGAGGTGGAGAAGTTGGTGCGAAAAGCATACCGGTCTGTACCTGCGCTCATTGAAGGGAACCTGGTGCAGACATTTATCGATGGCATCCGCGACCTGGAATTCAGAGCTGCTGTGAGGCTCGGGCACCACGAGACGCTTAAGGACGCCTTGGCCATTGCACTGGAGGTGGAAGCCGTGCGGCAGGATCATCGTTCCCATCGCGTCAGGGAGGTTGCAGCAGCTACTGTTCGCGACCACAATAAAGGATACAGCCCTAGGTGCTATGGCTGTGGGGAAAGGGGATCTTCGATCCAGCTGCCCTAAGCGAAGTGAAAGGGAAGTTGATCGATCTCGGGAGGGTAGTGCGGCCAACAGCACCGCCCAGCAGCAGCAGCAGGGAAACGAGTAAAAGCCAGAACTGCGGGGCGGGTGCTGGCTGATGTTAAAAGAGCCCCAAGGATCTCGATCTCACAAACCCATGATGGGAACAGGGGGCGGGGTCGACCAAGATGGTTGGTTAAACTTTAAGTCGCTTTGGGACTCCGCATAAACCGAGAACGCATTAATTTGGCAGCCACCGGTCAGGTATACCCGTCCGTGGAGAGAAAGAGATGGAGTTGAAGCTGACGACTGCATCCTGGACCTAGACTTTATGAGGAATAATTGTTGTGATGATCGACGTTAAGCAAGGTGTTTTGAAATGTGGACAGGAGGAACTTTTTATGGAAGGTGCGTTAACAGGGTACGTGTACAGCATTAAGAAGATTGTTCTTCCGCCGAGATCGGAAACGATTGTTCCGGTTAGTCTTCCCGAAACGGTGAGCAAGCTCACCGTTGTGTACTTGTGGAAAGGGTAAACAATGACCTTCCATGGAAAGTAGCTCGAACCTTGGTCAGAACCACTGACATCACAGGAGTACGTGTGCTGAACCTTTGTGACCGGGAATAGATTATAGAAAAAGGCATGCTGGTTGGTACTTGTGAGGATGTGGATTGGTTACGTCGGTGCCAATATCTATCGAGTGAGACCGCCATCCCAGCAAGGATGCACAAACGAGAGTGACCACACTTTTGGAAGACTGTCGCAGCGTTCTCTCCCCGACCGAAATGGTCAAGGCGAAGAAGTTGTTACTCAAGTATGCCGACGTATTCTCATCAAACGATGCTGACATAGGAAAGACTGGCTTAGTTCAACAGAAAATAAACACAGGAGAAGAATTGCCTATCCGTCAGCGGCCAAGAAGATTGCCGGTAGCACGTGAAAAGGAAGTGAAAACCATGATTGAAGGAATGGTGAAGGATGGTCTTATTGAACCTTCCTCTAGTCCATGGTGTTCACCAGTGGTGCTGGTAAAGAAGAAGGATGGCAGCATGCGGTTTTGTGTTGACTACCGCCGTCTGAACGACGTTACGAAGAAGGACAGCTTTCCCTTGCCAAGAATTGATGACACGCTGGATATGCTTACAGGAGTAAAGTGGTTTAGCACGCTGGATCTAAAAAGTGGCTACTGGCAAGTTGAAGTTGACCCTAAGGACAAGGAGAAAACTGCGTTCTCGACGGGAAAGGGTCTGTGGCAATTTAAAGTAATGCCGTTTGGGTTGTGCAATGCTCCAGCAACGTTTGAAAGGCTGATGGAACTTGTAGTTACCGGGCTATTTGGCGATGCCTGTCCGGTCTACTTGGATGACGTCATCGTCGTAGGCCGTACGTTTGAGGAACACCTTCAAAACCTGGAACGCGTGCTCATGATGTTTCAGAGTGCCAACCTCAAGTTGAGTCCGAAGAAATGTTCACTATTCAAACGGCAAGGTAACTTTTTGGGGTATGTAGTATCGGAAGAAGGTATCCGCACGGATCCAGAGAAAATCGCCGCTGTCAAGGATTGGCCGGTTCCAAAAGACAAGACGCAGGTTGGAGCATTTTTGTGTTTGTGCTCCTATTACCGGCGATTTGTGAAGAACTTTGCAGACTTAGCCAAACTTCTGCATAAGCTAACCGAGAAGAAGCGACATTTCTGCTGGGATGAAAGTTGCAATATCGCATTCCAGGAGCTCAAGGACTGTCTGTGCAATACACCTATTTTGGGATACCCTGATGCAAGCAAAGAATTTATAGTTGACACAGACGCAAGTGATATAGGACTTGGCGGTGTGTTGTCTCAACGGAATGGTGACCAAGAGGTCGTGATAGCGTACTTCAGCAAGTCGTTGTCAAAACCGGAAAGGAACTATTGTGTCACAAGACGCGAATTGCTAGCTGTGGTAAAGTCGTTGCAGCATTTTAGCAAATATCTTCTGGGTAGAAATTTCACTTACGAACTGACCATGCTGTACTAAAATGGCTATTGCAGTTTAAAAATCCAGAAGGACAAGTTGCGAGGTGGATTGAACTACTGCAGGAATACGACTTTGAAATCGAACATCGCAACGGAAAATCTCACGGCAACGCAGATGCATTGTCAAGAAGACCTTGTCCTGAAGATTGCAACCACGTGAGGATGCTCAGGACAGACCACCTCAGCAACGAGTGGAAGGACAGCTTACTACATGCACAGCAGGAAGATCCGGACATCAAGGCGATTCTGGAATGGATAAAGGCCAGTGCTCCCAAGCCCAAGTGGAGCTACGTCTCAGCGATGAGTTCGACCACTAAAAGCTATTGGGCCCAATGGGACAGCTTGCTGCTTCAGGATGGAGTTCTGTGCCGTAAATGGGAAAATGTTCGGGGAGACAGCTGTCATTTGCAAATGGTCGTCCCTAAAGCTAGAGTACCGGATGTTCTACAGCTGTACCACATATGATTGTTCAGGAGGCCATCTGGGAGTTAAACGAACTCTACTGAAGATCCGAGAACGGTTTTACTGGGTCCACTGTCGAAACGATGTCGAGGTGGTGTCGCAAATGTACAAGTTGTGCGGCTGTAAAGGGACCTCAGACTCGTAGTAGAGGTGCGTTGAAGTTGTACAATGTTGGTGCACCATGGGAGAGAATAACCATTGACGTTGCGGGACCGTTTCCGGAGAGTGAAAGCGGTAACAAGTATTTCATGGTTGTGATGGATTACTTCACTAAGTGGCCAGAAGTCTTCGCCATTCCAAATCAAGAAGTTAACTTCAGATAACTAGTTCAAGAAGTCTTCTGTCGTTTTGGAGTACCTTTAAAGATTCACAGCGATCAAGGAAGGAATTTTGGCTTACACGTCTCTGCAGTTGGATAGGTTTTGAACTCTGGTTCTGAACTCGGATAGCCATTGTGGCCCTACTGTACAAACACTTCGATATACCGACAGTCAACTTGGCACCGCTGAAGGGACTGTAGCACCGCCGGAATTTGGACGGAATCGGAAGGCTTTCTTATAGTCCACATATGCCAGGCAAAGTGACAGATTGTACTCTTCGGTCTTCTGTACAATCTGCCGCAGCGTATGTTGTGGTCTATAGTACTGAAGTCTTCGGAACCGGCTTCTTCGTGACTCTCGAAAACAGCACGTAGACGCGTCTCAGAAGGGAAATCGGTCTGTAGTTCTTCAATAGAGCGTTGTCACCTTTCTTGAAGAACAAGACCACCGCACTTCTGTTCCACGCCTCCGGAGTAGTGCCACCATAGAGAACGCAAT